CTCCTTATAAAGCCCAGGCTGGCCTTAAACTCTTGATCCTCCTGCTTCAGCTCCCATAGTGCTGGGACTACAGGCATGTGCCACTGTGCCCAGTGAAGTCTATTCTTTTTCCATCACATAAGTCCTGGGGATCCAACTCAGGTCCTCAGATGTGGCAGCAAAGAGCTTTACCCACTGAGCCATCTCACTGGCCCAGAGCCCAGGTATTATGTGTTGATGTCTTATCTCTGTCCTGAGTCAGCACTGTGTTCAGAAGTCCACAGTGAAGATGCTGAGGGAGAGAAGGCAAAGGACAAACCTTCTAGACAAAGGCCTTTCTCCTAGGCACAGATCCAAATACATCATATCTAATTTTGATGCATGTAATTATTTTGTGTGTGCATGTATGCATGCATGCCATGGCATATATGTAGAAGCCAGAAGTCAACTTGCAGGAGTCTGTTCTCTCCTTTTACCATGGACGTCCTGGGATCAAATTCAGGTCATCAGGCTTGGCAGCAAGCACCTTACACTTTGAGCCATCTCCACAGCTCAAAGTACATCATTTCTCTTTTTTAGTTATATAGAAGTCTATGTGTCTGTGCCTGTGAGTGCAGGTGCCTGGAGAAGCCAGAAGAGGATGTCAGATGCTCTGGAGCTGGAGATACAGGTGGCAGTGAGCCACCTGATGTGGGTGCTGGGAACTGAACTCAGGTCCTCTGCAAGAGTAGTAACTGTTCTTATTAACCACTGAGTCAATTCTCAGGCCCCCCAAATACATCATTTCTAAACTGATCAGGTAACTGAAGAATGACACCCCCTTTCTTGGCCTGACCAGTGCCCAAGAGTTTAAGGCCAGTATAGAAAACATAGTGAGTTCAAAACCAGTCTAGACTACATACTGAGTTCAAGGCCAGCCTAGACCACATAGTGAGTTCAAGGCCAGCCTAGACAACATAATGAGTTCAAAAACCAGCCTAGACTACATAGTGAATTCAAGGCCAGTCTAGACAACATAGTGAGTTCAAGGCCAGCTTAGACCACATTGTGAGTTCAAGGCCAGCATAGACAACATAGTGAGTTCAAAACCCGTCTAGACTGCATAGTGAGTTCAAAACTAGCCTAGACTATATAAATTATATGAGTTCAAGGCCAGCCTAGACTACATAGTGGAGGGAGAAAACCAACTCCCTTGGGTTGCCCTCTGACTTCTTCACACATGCCATGACACAGGTACACACACACACACACACACACACACACACACACACACAAAATAAAAGTAGAGGAAGAACCACCACCAAGTTTCCAGCAGTGGATGAAGGGCTAAGCGAAATGTGGTGAGTCCATACAATGGAATATTATTCAGTCTCAAAAGGGAAAGAAAGGGCTGGCCAGATGGCTCAGCAAGTAAGGGTTCTTGTCACCAAGTCCCATGATCTGAGTTGGATCCCCAGAAGAGAACTGACTCCCTCCCACAAGTCACCCGCTGATTTCCACACAAGTTTTCTCTACCTTCCTCCAAAATGCCTCTAGGACTCCCCTTATACCCTCTGTTTGTCCCTTGTGCCTTAGACTCCTAAACCTATTTCTCTCCCAATCTTCATCTCAAGCCGTGGTGACTGTAATATCTGTTAAGCTCAGGCTACAATCCCTGGAGTCACTCTGAGCTCCCACACTCACCATATCTATTGTTGAAACTCAAAATGTTCTTAGAATCTGGCACCATCTTCAGCTCTTAGACAGAGTCATGTCTTGATTTAACTTGTTTAATTTTTTGAGACAGAATCTCATGTAGCCCAGGTGGCTTTGAATTCATCATATAGTTGAGGCTGAACTTGAACTTCTGATGCTCCTGCCTCTACCCTCTGCCCCCAGTGTTGGGATTACAGGTATGTGCAACCACGTCCCCTGACTGAATGACTACGTCTCTTCCTGGGTCTCCAAATTTTCTGATTGTGCTTCTTGAACATGTTGCATTGTGTCAATGGCTAGTTCAAACCCTCTCTGAGAACTAAATCTATGCCCTTGTTTTGTTCTTCAAGGCTCCACCTGACCTGGTCCCACCTGACACGTCTCTGACATCACTTCCTAACATCCTTCCCCACATTCACTCCACTCAATCTCAGGCATTCATGTGTGGTACTGCACGACTTTAAACCTAACACTTGGAGGCAGAGGCAGGTGGATCTCTGTGAGTGCCAGGCCAGCCTGGTCTACGTAGCAAGTTCCAGGCCAGGCTACAGAGAGATCCTGTCTCAAAAAATATCAATTAATTAATCAATAAATTAATTAAATAAATAAATAGTTGACTTGCAGCTCAGTCTCAATGAAAGAGCTGTGGCTGGTGCAGAGAGCACACTCCCTCCTGAAGCCTCCGTGAGGGAACCCACTGGCTCTGCCCTCTGCCCTGTCAGTGACCAGCATGCACTCTGACTTGCCTGATGGCGATTCTTCCCATGCTCCCACCCCTCTGCTCACCTGAACTCCAGGTCTCTGGGAGCTTCCTTCTGCTGAGGCTTCCTTTTCCTGGAAGGACACTGGGATGCTAGGCTCAGGGCTCCAGACCCGATCTAGAAATTCTCACCCTTCCTGTCCAGGTTCCCAAGCCCAAGCTGCAGACAGTCCTGAGGAGTCTCACCTCTTTCTCAGGAAGAAAATCAGCAGCCCCACAAGGATGAAGAACAGGAGGACGCCCACAATGGCTCTGGCAATGACCCCTGGAGGAGAAGCAAAGGGAGGCTTTCAGCCTAGATTTACCATTGCTATTATTATTATTATTATTATTATTATTATTAGAGACATGATCTCATGAAGCCCAGGCTGGTTCAGACTTGAACTCCTGATCCTCTTGTGCCTACTTCCCAAGTACTAGGATGATAGGCAGATACCACCAAGATGCCTTGCTATTGTCATATTAAAGGGGAGATGCATTTTAATTGCAGTTATCCACATGCTTACTGATGATCACTGTTACTTTTTCTGGAACTGCCTATTAATGTCCTTTGACTCTGTAGAACATTGGTTTTTCATGTCATGTTTTTGTATTTTACATGGGTTCACATAATTGAGGGTGGGAGCTGTAAAACAACTGGCAACAGTGAAAGGTTCCTCAGCACTCAGTGACCAAATCTTTTTCAGATTCAAACACGTAATGAGTTTAAGGTGTTTCTGGCAGTGCTTGTCCATGTTATATTCTGTAACTCCACAGCACCCCAGGTTCTGAACACATGAACTTTGCACTGTGCATGTTGTCATACTATGCAATGCTAATGAATGCTACCTACAACACCTTGATTCATGTAAGCCCAGGCTGGCCTTAAACTCTTGATCCTCCTGCTTCAGCTCCCATAGTGCTGGGACTACAGGCATGTGCCACTGTGCCCAGTGAAGTCTATTCTTTTTCCATCACATAAGTCCTGGGGATCCAACTCAGGTCCTCAGATGTGGCAGCAAAGAGCTTTACCCACTGAGCCATCTCACTGGCCCAGAGCCCAGGTATTATGTGTTGATGTCTTATCTCTGTCCTGAGTCAGCACTGTGTTCAGAAGTCCACAGTGAAGATGCTGAGGGAGAGAAGGCAAAGGACAAACCTTCTAGACAAAGGCCTTTCTCCTAGGCACAGATCCAAATACATCATATCTAATTTTGATGCATGTAATTATTTTGTGTGTGCATGTATGCATGCATGCCATGGCATATATGTAGAAGCCAGAAGTCAACTTGCAGGAGTCTGTTCTCTCCTTTTACCATGGACGTCCTGGGATCAAATTCAGGTCATCAGGCTTGGCAGCAAGCACCTTACACTTTGAGCCATCTCCACAGCTCAAAGTACATCATTTCTCTTTTTTAGTTATATAGAAGTCTATGTGTCTGTGCCTGTGAGTGCAGGTGCCTGGAGAAGCCAGAAGAGGATGTCAGATGCTCTGGAGCTGGAGATACAGGTGGCAGTGAGCCACCTGATGTGGGTGCTGGGAACTGAACTCAGGTCCTCTGCAAGAGTAGTAACTGTTCTTATTAACCACTGAGTCAATTCTCAGGCCCCCCAAATACATCATTTCTAAACTGATCAGGTAAC